GTCGCTCTGGATAATCTTCTCAGGAGACCGCAATCAGGGTTGCCACCCACCCCCACACACGCACACACGCAACACCCACAGACCCCCCTGTTCTGTCCTGCTGATACACCTCCACTTATTTCACAGTCTCGGTTGGGTTTCGCTGCTTGAGTTTGTTATGAAATGGAGTGATTAGATTTAGCTTTGTAACCCGTTGATGGAAGATCCGTAAAGCATCTCGGAAGAATTGTAGAAACGTAAGACAAACTGTAACGTATGGTATGCCATAGGTTACGCACGAGAAGCTGATTTTCTTGTCTTTTAAAAATACCAGGCTGAAAATGCGAGGATAGCAAGTTTGCGATTGGCATCGCCCCAGGCTACGTTGGGCAGGGAGTCAATTGGCTCTCTCTCTATGTGTCTCAGTTGAAGTCTCATTGTTTGTTTTTTGCAGGAGGATCAGGACCAAGACCAGCACATGAGTGAGGTAAATGCCCCCTTCCTGATTCCTAGTAGAAAGACAGGATTCCTCCCCAAGTCTCAGCAGCCCATTGCGCGGGGGTGGGGGTGGGGAAGGACCACTGGCCGGCCTCTCCGGTCAGCCCAGAGGAACAACCCTCTGGCCAAAGGCAGCTTCAGCAGGGCCTCTGCAAAAACAGGAGGCAGAAGCTGTGGGCAAAAGCTTTCGTTTGGCACGGATGCAGAGGGAGGCAGGCGGGCGGTCCAAGCCAACGCTCTCTTGGTGTGTGTTGTGGAAGGGCTTTGAGGGAAAGGGGGGGGGAGTGTCACTCAGTGGGGATTGGAAGAGGCTGTCCCCGGGAAGGGGGAAGAGCATGGGGTGGCGGACCACGAGCCGAGCGGAGGCAGGAAACCAACGGGACAGATGAGCTGGGTGAGAGGTGGAAGGCCCAGCTGGGGAGCAGAGCATGGTGGAGGGTGCCGTTACCTATGAGAGACAGAGACAGAGAGCACTTCTCTCCACCCCGCCCCACCTTTATCAACAAAATGGGCCCGTGTACGGAAAAGGCATGGAAAGGAGGTCTCGTGAGCTGCACGGGGCCCCTCGGGGCTGTTTGGCGCTGCCTCTGGACCCCACCCTCCCTTGATGATTTTACCTCTGGAACCTACTGCGAGCCCATGTGGCCCCTAAAACAAGGAGTGGCTCTTGCCCTGCCTTTTATTTAAAACAAACAAACAAACATAAAAACCTCAATTAGAGAAAAGGAAAGGAGGTTTTTGGTTTCACCAAGCAGGGCTGGTGCAGGGAAAACACTCCCCAGGACTCTCCTCGCAACGGCACTGTCGGTACCAACGGTGCAAAGGGGCCTGCAGGAAAGAGCCGCGTGGTCCAAAATCCGGTGGTTGTGGGGGGGGAGACGGCCCCTGCTCTCCCGGCCTGTTTGCATGATGCCAGTCTGTCTTCTGGTTTTTCCAGGAAGGGGAGATGCTCTTTGATTCTCTGACGGGGCAGCCCCACCCCGAAGACCTCCTCCTCTTCGCCGTTCCCATCTGCGCTCCGTACACCACCATGACCAACTACAAGTGAGTGAGTGGGCGGGCGGGCAGCCACGGCGGCTAGCCGGACCGGCCGTGAGAGAGCGGCCGGACTTCCTTGGCGGCTGGCTCAACGCTGCCTGTTCTTGTTTTCTTTTTAAAGATACAAAGTCAAGCTGACGCCCGGCACCCAGAGGAAGGGAAAAGGTAATTTGCACGATCCTCGTCAGTCTTGTGTCCTGTTAGCCGCTGGCGATTTCAAAAACCATACAAAGTGCCTTATGGCGCAAAAGGGTATTATATCTAAAGGCACCAGATCCGACTCGACTAATCTCCCCCCCCGCCTGCTCTGCTTTTGCCTGGGCTGACCACCCGTTGGTCCTCTTTACCTCCTTTCAGGCCCCTCACCCAAATCCTGCCCTCTCCATTTGTGTTTCCGTCTGTGTCAATATAACCTCGTGATTTATTTATTTCCTCTTTGACCTTATTGTGTTAACCAGTTGGTTTTTCAATGCTCTTGTGTACCATGCTTGAATGCTTGGCCAACCAGAAGGGGAAGGATGGAGACTCAGGGGTGGGTGATCCCTGTTCATCTAGGGCAACTTAGAATCACCGCTAGGTGACCGGGGAGAAAAAAATTAAGAAGTGG